TTTGTTACAGCTACAAATGGAAAAAGCCAACATGATTCTCAGATTCCAGGGAGTTCCTGAATTGACGAAAGAGGATCTGAGGAAGTTGCTCAGCGAGATCATTGCTCCAGCAATAGGCTCAACAGCGGATGAAGTAGTAAAAGAGATTGAGACTGCTTATAGGGCATACTCCAATTATATTTTTAAAAATAGCCTGCCTGGAGAAATTGTGGTCAGATTCTCAAGAAGACAGACCAGAGATGCTATTTTAAAAGCAACCACAGCAACTCCAATGAAAATGGGGAATATAAACATTAAAACTTTAAAAGACATTCTATTTGAAATTCGCCAAAAGAGGAAAAGCTATAAGGACTTAATTTCTTTTTTTCAAACCAATGGAATTTCGTATAGGTGGGCGATCCCAGAGGGTGTCATCTTTAAAATCAACGACAAAAGAGAAAAGATTGACTCCATTTTTAAAGCCAAAGAATTTTTGAGACACCAGTTGGGATTGGAGGAAGAATCTAAAGATGAAGAATCAAGTGACTCCGCTACCTCTGGAACGGATGAGGACTCTGCTATAGAAACGGGTGCAGGCGCAACGAAAGTTACATATGGTTTCAGAGACAGAAAACCGAAGTAAAGGCAGAAGGACTCTGAAAATTGCCTTTTGAAGCAAGTAACAAGAAGATGCTCAGAAAGTTCTCTCACAGCAACTAACATACTAACATTGAAGCCGAGACAAACAAGAACTCTATAAGTATATAGTTGTTGTACTAACACTTTTATTAATAACACTTACATTAACACGGATATGATCTCCTCCTCTTGGGTTTTTAGTGTAGTGTGGTTATCTATCCTTTATCCTTAGATGTAATCCCCTTCCCTTATATTTTCTTTGTAGTTTTGTAGTCTTATAAAAAAATAATTAAAAATATCCCTCTGGGGATTTAAAAAAAATAATAATCGTCGTTTCTCCAAGCTAAAGAGCCCTAAGTGCTTTTACCTTTCTTCATAGGAAAAGTGTTCCAACCCTTTTATCATTCGAGTTGCCCTTTTCTGCACTTTTTCCAAAGCCATAATATCCTTTTTAAGGCGTGGTGACCAGAACTGCACACAGTATTCCAAATGAGGTCGCTCCATTGATTTAAATAGGGGCATTATGATATTGGCTGATCTGTTTTCAATACCCTTCCTAATAATCCCCAGCATAGCATTGGCCTTTTTTATTGCAGTCACACACTGTCTCAACATTTTCAGTGAGTTATCTACTACGACTCCAAGATCTCTTTCTTGTTCAGTCTCTGCCAGTTCAGACCCCATCAATGTGTATTTGGAAGTCTCTCATCCAAATACTAGCCAGGGCTCACCCTGCTTAGCAACCAAGATATAACAAGATCAGGCTAGCCTGGGCTATCCAGGTCAAGGTTTTTATGTCTAATACATTATTACAAAGTTCTGCTTCTACCATACTAAAATTAAATATGATGTGAAAATGCACTTTATATTAGTTTCTCTTACTAATTGGAATTTATCAGCAGACATGGAATAGTCAGCTAGGTCAGTGATCACCAAACTTCCCTATTCCAGGAACCATCTTCAGTCCCAGGCAACAGCTTGAGAGTTGAGACCCATGGATGTACAAGCATATGACTAAAGTCACATGAAAGAAGTCATGTGACAGCAGTCATGCAACCAGAAAGGGAAGAGTCATTCTCTGTACCTGCCTCTGCAGGATACTACCCCCTGGTAAGTGACCTTGGCTTGTTGGCCTGTTGCTCGTCTCAGCACATGCGCTAAGAGAGTAAGGAAGCATATCCTGCTCTAACTACATGCATGCACTAGCAGCAGTTCCAGCCAAAATGCAGCAGAAATGACAGTTTTATAGGGGCTCACAGTGCAGCAAATGTGATGGCTTGAAGGCCACTGGTCTAGATTATGGAAGTCCTTTTGAAAAAGAGCAAAAGTTCTCAATTGTTTTCAGCTAGATTCAAGTCCAGTAACCCCTTAAAGACCAACAGGATTTTCAGAATATAAGCTTTTTAGAGTTATTAAAGTTCCCTTTGTTAGATACCTTTCTTTGGCAGTCCATGGTGGGGGGACTCTTTTGAATTCCTTTCTGAACAAACTATTTCAGTGCTTGTAGTTTTAATTTTAATAAGCAGTTACAATTGTATTCAGAACAATGGAGCTTTCTCTCTTTCTCCAGAAAGACCAAAATGGTAGTGCTTAGTCACTGAACATAAACCATATATCCAAGCCAGCAAGCAGATGTTTCTAACATTTTTAGAAAAAGTTGACTCATTCAAAATGTTGCCATTTTCCAACACAGTATTTTCTCAATCAGCATTTATCCACAAGATCATTTTTCTTTCCATTTTCTGATTAATCTTCCTTTGCAACCATAATTACGGACTGGATCCACCTAAGCATTTCTCCCAAGAGCAGCAATTTGGGGGATATTTTGGGCTGCAGTAGGAGGGAAGAGTTGGGAAAGCCATGGTCTGAGAATAGAAATCCTTCAATTCACAGAAATGCTCAGATAGATCCAAGACCATGTGATCAACTTTATATGTAACCATAGCTTTAAATTTAAAACAGTCTGAAGAATTTGCATATAAATGTGACCACCTAAAGATGTATTCATATATATAAAAAAAAGACCAGGCAACTGTTAACAAGTGGTAACTTTTTCTTGCCACAGTGGATTAAGCAACTCACGTGCACCCCCCCTCCCATTAGATGTATTTTCTATCTGACCCTTCCTTCATGGAGTACAGGACAGTGTACATGGTCAACTCTCACTCTGTTTTATCCTCACAAACAATAACCTCTGAGGTAGGTTAGGTGGGGGGGGAGGTGGGCCAAAATGACCAGGTGAAAGTTATGACTGATTGGGGAATTGAACCCAGGTCTCTCTGGTCCTAGACCAATAGTCTAGCCATCATACTACACCAGCTCAACATATCTGCCCAAGATAGTAACAAGTAGTGTGCCAAATCATCATGTAACAGCCAATGTTAATACTTTCAGATGCTCAAGCACAACCTGGAGTTAATGCATGTACACTTGTATGTACCTTTAAGCAATTACGAGTTGGTTAGGGGTGGCCAATATATATTCTTGGAAGCTGCTATTTCTCAGTCTGATGGGGAGGAAACAGGGGGTTATTTTGCCATACAAACTAACTTTTCCATGACTGGTCAGGATCCATAATGACACTGGCACCACATAGCAGTAAGTGCTTCACAAGGAGCCCATACACTCAAGCATAGCTTCGTATTTAACGGTTAGATCCAGTGATTGTCTTCCAGAAGAAGAAGACTCCTTACTGAACAGAAGGGATTCCCTGCATCCAACACATACATGTCACATACAGAGGACTGGATGCAGACCAGACTTTCCATTAACCGGGTGGTGGGTTTTCTACTAAAATCCCCTCCCCACTGCAGACCTCCCAGATTTTCCCCTCATGGTCCCTGAAGATCCCCTGTCCACCAGTATTTCAGGAAATTCAGTGGGCTTCAGTCAGAGGGGGAAAGCAGAAAAGTTCCATTCTGCTGAAGAAAGTGTTTTCTCTTCAAAAAAAAAAGAATTTGTATCTAGACCAATATCCACAAGAGATGCTACACTAGGTAAATTACTTTTTCCAAGAGAGATTAAAATTTGGTAGGGCTAACAGGGACAATGGCTGTGGACGTCCAAGAAGTAACAATAACAAGGTTAGTTTAATGCAGTGTTGGACTCTTAGCTCTTAGTCCAGCCTCATAGAATCCAGCAAGCACCACACCACCTTCAGCTGACTGGAGGACAGGTGCTCAGTAAAGGCAAGAACAGAACTCAGGCAGTAAGTTATCTTTGCCTCACCTGCACTCGGATCCCATGGTAGACACAGAGCCAGAACAGCAGCAATGCACACAAGAACAACGACTGGAAGAGATCGTCTAACATTCCAGGGAACCAACTGTTAATTAGGAAGGAGAGAGGGAAAAATGGATCTGCGACAGAATGGAAGGGGGGAAAATTGTCACAAGACAGCACTGAAAATCAGAAAGCAATTTGTAAAAGTAATTCAGATTCATTGAAGGAATGATTGCAATTGTGCTCCATATGGGATGCACATTCTATATGCCATTTCCAGTTCATTCTGCTAAGTATTCCAGTTCTGTAGCTAAGACAATTAATTGTTAGGACATGCTTTCCGAAAATGTTATCTTTGGTATCAGAATTATAACAAGCAAACCACCATCTTTACTGGGTTTTGTTGTTGTTTTTTTTAAAGCATGAGAGCTAAAAACTGGGCTGTACAACAGAGGCCATTTGCAAGATTTTATCCCTTACGGCTTTAGAGTTCTGTACTCTAGAAGGAGCCACATCTGCAGTTTTCATATGGTGAACAGGATAGCATGACAAAAGCTGCACCCCATGCCTCCACTACCTATCCAGCCTTAGAGCCCAGAGGGGGAAAGAAAACACAGCCACAACAGACCTCTGTTAAACCTGTGGCTTTATCTATTAGGTCTTTATACTGCCTTTCTGCCAAAGAGCTCAGGATGGGGGTCATGGTTCTCACCTTCATTTCATCCCCACAAGCCTGTGAAGTATGTTAGCCTGAGAGAATAACTGGCCCAAGGATCACCCAGTGTATAACTGATTGGGGCTTTCAATCCAGTTCTCTCGGTTTCTGACCCCTTGTGCTGAATGCATAACCACAATATATACCTGTAAAATGGCACTGGGGCTAATATTGAAAGGCTGTACAAGTAGAGGGGGACAACTACCAACTGACTATTACTCATTATTTGTGTGTCTGCTTTGTTAAAACATTCTTGTAGCTTTTGTCCCCCATGTGAGAAAACTAAAGAACCTAAGGCCATTGTGGTGAACCCATAACTGGCTTCAGGTGGGTAGCCATGTTCGTCTGAAGCAGCAGAACAAAGTTTGAGTCCAGTGGAACCTTTAAGACCAACATACCTTTATTCAAGGTATGAGCTTTTGTGAGCCACTCCTCACTTCTTCAGATGCCGTAAGTGGCTTGACATAGGAACCCAATAATCCGCCAAGACTGAAGTTTTCACCACTACATCATGCTGATTATCAGACTAACTGTAGCAGACATCTGTTTCAAAGTACCAAAAGCAGCATCTATTTTATTTTTCCTTTTGCTAATCTCACCCACAGGGGAAAAAAATCTCTTTCACAAATTATTTGACTTACCATTATAAAGTAATAGCAAAGGAAGGAGGATAGACATCCACTTCTGCTCTATTCCCCAATCTCTCATAGAGAACTTCCTCAGGGAATGTGCAAAGAGACACTGCAGAAAAACACAAAAGGAATTAATCTACAGTACACAAAAAGAATATGCAAAATCCACAAGACTTGCACAGAGTTACATCTTTCCAGAGCTAGAAACAACTGGCAAACACAGCAACTGAACCGGGACTCTCTCAAATCATGTGGAAAGTCTTCCCTTTCTCTCCTGCTCAATTTGGTGTACACACCATTCTGTATCCCATCCCATCCCCCTGGCCATGCTTTCTTTCCTTGCCCGTCCAGCAAAGAAAAAGCTTCCTCTAAAGTTATACTCAAAGTGTGTTTCTGTAAAGTACAGAAGGCCAGGCTGCCTGCGTTACCATTGGGAACCCCCAATACAAAGCCAATCACTAATGTCCCAATTGAAGAAAAACAGGTATAACCACGGGACTCTCTCAAATCATGTGGAAAGTCTTCCCTTTCTCTCCTGCTCAATTTGGTGTACACACCATTCTGTATCCCATCCCATCCCCCTGGCCATGCTTTCTTTCCTTGCCCGTCCAGCAAAGAAAAAGCTTCCTCTAAAGTTATACTCAAAGTGTGTTTCTGTAAAGTACAGAAGGCCAGGCTGCCTGCGTTACCATTGGGAACCCCCAATACAAAGCCAATCACTAATGTCCCAATTGAAGAAAAACAGGTATAACCAGATGCTGACCTGTTGACATTATCTGGATTTCCTACAAATACCAGACCATGCTACTTATATTATTTGGGCCACTTCTTCCAACACCATGGATGAAAGATCCCTCAAGAGCCACCTCTAAGCCTCCCACTAAAAACAAAGTAAGGGGGGCAGTACTCACTGTGACTATGAACGTGAGAACTACAAAGACAAATCGGAACCAGATCTCCACTTGTGAGAAAGTTGGGTTGTAGGTTTTCCACTGGAAGAAACAAACAACCATATTAATAAAATGTGGAAGTCACGAATGAATCACTGACTGCAGGGCTGCCAGCTCAGGGCTGGGAAAGAACCGGAGATTTGGGGAGTGGAGGCTGGGGAGGGCGGGGTTTGGGGAGGGCCAGCAATGGGACATGAATGCCATTAGACTCCACCTTCCAAAGCGGCCATTTCCTCCAGGGGGAGTGATCTCTGTCACCTGGAGATCAGTGGTAATCCCAGGAGATATCCAGCCACCACCTGGAAGTTGGCAGCCCTGACAGCCATAGCAGTGCATTGCAGCAGCATCCCCAGTGACTCTCCCTAGCTAAAGTTCAAGAGAATTTATTAATTCAACCAATAAAGGAGGGCTAAGAATGATTTAACACTCCTTCAAAGGGGAAGACTGATGGCCAACTCAAACTTTACCTTTGGGATGTGGGAGCTGCTTCAGCACGGCTACATTCCATATCGCCCTCGCAATGCCCAAGTCCATGGCATGACTGGCATGGAAAGTAGCCTTGTCACATTACATTATCTGCACAGGGGAGACTATGCCTTAAACACTCCACGCTGCAAAGGTAACATTTAACTTAGACCCACGTTATGAGAATTTCAGGGAAATACCGAAGTTATTATGGTCTTCATATAAAATGTAGAGTAGTCACAAAGGAGCAGCATAGTACAGGCACAAGGCTCATGGTGTGTGAACTAATCACTGCAACATACCAGCAAGAAGGACCTTGCATGGATTTTTTCTGTTTCACTATAAACTTAATATCCTAACACCGTCAGTGCAAATGTATGTATCTCGAAGAATGGCCAGAAAGACTTGTTACATTAAACACCTGACATAAAGAGATAACCAGTCCTTTTGAGGTTACATCAGCATTTTGGGGCAATAAACAAAAGTACAAAGGGACAGGATAAAGCCAGATGACTGACTCCTGCCTTCAGATTGAGTATTAAGGCTCACAAATAAAAGTAGTTTCACCATAAAAGTAGTTTCACCACAAAAATGATAATTAATTTCAAACAAAAGATTAATTTAAAATATACTCTACCAGGTACTTGAGAACTGAATCTTGGTTTTTATAAAATTTAATCTTGTAAAGCACCCTGCCAACTCTGTATACCCAATGTGTCCTGAAAATCAGCAGAGCTCTACTCAATGACTACAGGAATTTCCTCATACTACACATCATAAGAAGGAAGGGGGTTAAAAAAAGAGTGTGGTGGATTCTTTCAGCCTGTAGTCATATTAAAGCCACAACCAAACCACATGCCTGTTGTTACCTAATTACCCAATCAGGAATGGAGACTGGGCCGCACGGGTAGGGCGGGATATAAATCCCAAAATAAATAAATAAATTTCATTCCATAAGAGATTCCAAAATTACTATTTCAGACCTAACTGAGCAGAAAGCTCCACTTTAATTTTTACAAACCCTGCTAATCTGGAATAAGCAGGACTCTAAAGTTGATATTTCTTCTCATTATACATATTGAACCTTTACTAGAAAACAATAAGGTCTTTACGATTGCAAAGTAAAGGCAAGGGGACCTGAAATTAAAACTGAACATTGGTTTTGCTTGCTTTTATCAATGCACTTACTATGAAGTTCTTGATGTGATAGATCGAAGAAAGGTTGCCAAAGGTAACAGTGACATCATAGCGAGTATAGTTCAGGTAGCCAAGATGAACCACAATAATTTCAGCACATTGCTATGAAATATGCCATTGAAGGAAAGAAGAGAGAATGCAAGGACAAAATGTCAACAGTCAATTTATACTTTTGGGCTTCCAAGACATTCAGTGCTAAATTGAGCACTATAAAGTGAGAAATATACCAGAATCCCTTTAGGATGCAATTTAGTACAAGGTCCCCCAGAAAGGGCATCCTGTCCTGCTTCTTGCTATCCATTACTTTAAAAACTTCCCTGCTGTTCATAATATCACGCAATTCCCCTTTCATAAGACAAAGAGCTAAACTGGAAACATCTGTTGCATGCACCACTCATAGGGCTATTGCATTTTACTGAAGATCTGAGCCATCAGAACAGATCTAAACCCCTTGTTTAGGTTTGTGGATGCCAGGGATAGTGTTTAGATACACATACACACATTCATGGACTCTTCCACTCAGTTATAGTCCGTCTGCTCACTTTAAAAATAAATCATCCATTCAGCACAGTATTGTCATTTCTGGCTGACAGGGATTTTCCAAGATTCCTGACAGAGGGGTTGATCCTTGAAATGCCAGATTTATATGAGGCCAGCATTCTGTGCGCCTTGGCGTCTAATCATGCCGGCCACATGACCAAAGAAACATCTCTGGACAGCGCTGGCTCTTCGGCTTGGAAATTGAGATGAGCACCGCATCTCTAGAGTCAGATTCGACTGGCTTTCAAGCAAGGGAAACCATTTTAAAAGCCACCCTTTTGTTTATGGCTCTAACAGAGACAGTCCCCCTCCACCATTTAACATGCCTTTTACCCATAGAAGGAAATCCTTCATCAAGAAGTTATTTCAAGGAGTATTTACTTGTGCACAGTTGAGAGTTCTTGTCCGGTTGTGAACTTCTTTGTTGAAGTATTTAATGCTTGCATTCTCTATTACACCATTTATTCTAACCAACATATTAAAGTTCACTGTCACACCTTTAAAGTTATCTGAAATTAAAGCAAAATGAACAATTCAGATGCTGTAAACTGTGGGTTAGGATATATAACCTCAGAACTTTAGCAGATGCAATAACACTCCAAAATGAAAAGATCCTATTGTAGTAGAATCTGATACAGCCCAGTACTCAACAACCTCTTCCCATTGAAGTTGGCAGCTTGTGAGCACATGCACATTCTGAAGTGTGCTTCTGTGTTTGTTTTGATCATATAAGCAGTTATCAGCAAGGCAAATAGCTACTGATGTTTAACACAAGTAACAGAAAAAGTATCTAAACAGTATCCAAATAACCAGAAATGTATATATTCTGGAAATATGTAGGTTTACAATGCATGTGTGAAATTTGGCATAGAACTTGGCATCAAGAGAAACTCAGGTTGCATTTTAAACTAAAACACAGGTTTCTAGACCTCAGCAGTAGAAAGAATTAGTCTGCAGGCTGTGAATAATATCCAGTGAAGACTCATAAACCACAGTTTTCTACTGATAAGGAGGTGACACAATCTACCACTACTGTTCCTTCAACAATTGCTTCCAAACTCTACACATCTACCTTCTTGGCCTTTTCTATTGTAATCTTGGTCATAGAATCTGAACACTAGAAACAGTACTAACCGCATTTCTGAGAATATGTTCCTCCACTCATACCTTTGTTTATAAGTTTAATGCAATGGGGGTGGAGGGGCATCAACTCTACTCAGGGATCAATGACGTATACATGCAGTCATGTACACAGTAAATCCCCCCAGAACCGATCTATTCATAATGTCTGTAACCAGTGTTCTTGCTAAGGTGTGCCAGCAATGTGCTGGTGCAGTTATTCACTCCTCAGTGCAGAGCTTTTTAGCTCACTGCAGGGATGCTTCCAAGGTAGCACAACTCAGGAAAGTGAAGGGGGGGGGGATTTTAAAATGCCTCCTTTTTCCTCTCTTTGCACTGCAGTGGCGGCTCGCATCACTGGTGGAGGTATGCCGCTGAGGCGATGCCACTTCAGAGAGTGAAGGGGGAAGCATTTTAAATGCCTCCCCTGCTCTCTCCAAGTTGCGCCACAGCAGGAAGGAAAGGGCAGCAATTTGCCCCAGTCTGGCTTCCTCCCTCAAGCCTTCTGAAGGCCCTAGCCAGGCCTGGGGCATGCCCAATGGCTTCCCTCTACCCAAAAGCATTATGGGGTACGGCCCAGCCCGTGAGGGACCAATAATGCCTCCTGAACCATTTCTACCTCATTACTCTCCTTCCCCACCCCCAGGGTGGAGTTTCCCAAAAGCTGATACTCAGACAGCTGGCAGTCAAAGTGCCAGCCATCAGTGGGTGCCTTACCCTTAAAGGGCCAGCTGCCATTGATCTGCTAATTGGTGTCATCCCAGTGGGGCTGGTGGATGCTGGGCTTGACCCTGGGGGAGGGGATGAGACGGAGGGGAGCATTGTGTTGCCTTCACCACCCCAGCAGGTGTACTATAAATATTATCACCAACTAACATTTTCTATTGGCTTCTGACATCCTGATTTGCATAATAAGATAATGCAAAAAACCATTTTGTACTGGAAAGGGTGATGCAAAAATATCCCCATTCTAAACTGGCTCCACTAAATACACCAGGCCAACACAGTGTACAACACATCTGTTGCATGCATTATGTCACCAATGTACTGCAGTTCACCAGATGCTTCATTACATCCCCTGCTTTGTAGCCTCAAGTGAGCAGCAAAAATAGGTGACATACCATACATTTGACAAATTCAACTACACAACTGACACATCATGCACGGCCCAGGGGCCTTAAGTTGTACAGGCACGGGATACAAAAGTGTATGGACAAGGCAAGCAGAGTCAATCAAGAGCAGTCAAACTAATCTTAGCTAAATTAAAACTCTCACCATCTCGATCCATCTGTATTATACATGTTAGCCACAACTGTTGATTGTAAGTAGATAATGACGGCGAACTCAAATTAAATATCTTTACCTGGAACGAAATGGAAGCAAAAGTTAATCCATGTGCATTCATTTACCTGCATTAGCTATTCAAGATCTTGTCAGGCTGTTAAGAACCAAGACAGAAGACCTTTCTGTACACTCCCCCCCCATTTCTGCTAAGTGCTAGTATCATCATTTAGCCCAATGTAAAGTAACTTCTTCAGTAATCAAGGGCCACATTAAAAACCTATCGTGGATAAAAGAGTAATTTACTTATACAAAATTAATATAATTTATACAGACAGTGACAGCAGGCCCCAACTCCGCTAACAGCAAACATTTCACCATACAGTCGCAAAACAGGCTTAGAACTCTTGATACTTGAACACACCAACACATTCTGGGAAAGAACACTTGGGATTTCGGGTTTTCTTTTTTAGGGGGGTTTACTGAGCTTTTCAAATACTGCTTTTTTTCAAATACTGCTTTTAAACTGATCTTTATAATATGAAATATACCAATATGCCTGTCAAATATTTACATCATAGACTGTGTATTTTTAGAGGTCAGAGGAGAGCTGAGAGGTTCACAGAGCCAAGCTGCCTCAGATCACTCGTCTTCCCAGCCCAGTACAGTCATATAACAAGACACACACACACAGACGCTGCAATCCTCTGCAAAGTCACACTGATCGAAACCCGCTGAAATCAGTGGGCTTAGACTGGAATAACCCTTCATAAGATTGCACTGACAAGATCTTTCAAGCACTGTTGTGCAGAATTTGTAACGTATGATGCCAGGGAGCCAGGGATTGAATGTAGGATCTTCTGGTTGGAAAGCATGCACTCTGCCATTTCCTTTTCCATCAACCCACAGCATGGCTATAAAGACTGCGGAGGAAAGGGACCTTTTCTTCATAGCCCTGTCTAGCTTAACAGACTGGGGTATGGAAGTAAGGTCTCAAAACATATTGTAAAACTCGAGGGCAAAGCTCTACAACAAAGAAGTGCAGCCACTCATTTCTCAGGCCACAGCAAAACACATGCACAGCTACAGGAGGCAGGCTCGGAATTTCAGTTTGGTGATGCCACGCCACATTCTTCCTGCATTTGGGTACCTCTCTAGGCCTCATCAGTCTTTTATACTGCAAGCATTACGGAGCAGAGGCCACCTCCTTTTGCACACCTGGTGTTCCATTAAAAAAGCCCAAACAGTTAGTCTTACCATGTTTCATGAACACATGGATTTCAGATGGAAGTCAGCCTCAGGATTACACACATCAACATTAATGTGAACACATCAGGTAATTCTCAAGGTCATGTCATGACCTCATCATAAGAATGCAAGTGAATGATCAAGATGCTGTGTAAAGTCAGCATGCACCATTTGTAGACACTGTATGGCAAGCTTTACCTTGGGACTGCCCTGACCTGGATAGCCCAGGCAAGCCTGATCTCGGAAGCTAAGCAGGGCCAACCCTGGCAAGTATTTGCATGGGAGACAGTTAGTCTTACCATGTTTCATGAACACATGGATTTCAGATGGAAGTCAGCCTCAGGATTCTCTCTCCTCTCTCACACACATCAACATGAATGTGAACACATCAGGTAATTCTCAAGATCATGTCATGACCTCATCATAAGAATGCAAGTGAATGATCAAGATGCTGTGTAAAGTCAGCATGCACCATTTGTAGACACTGTATGGCAAGCCTTACCTCGGGACTGCCCTGACCTGGATAGCTCAGGCAAGCCTGATCTCGGAAGCTAAGCAGGGCCAACCCTGGCAAGTATTTGCATGGGAGACCTCCAAGGAATAACAGAGCTCAGGACGCAGAGGCAGCCACTTTTCTGAACTTCCTCCATGCCCCAGTAGGAGTCACCAGAGGTCACCATGACTTCCAGGCATGGGCACGCACGCACGCACGCACAAATGCAAACCCTTACCTCGGGACCATTGCTCAATGGAGGTGCATATGGAGTGGAATCAATGACTCTGGGACCTAAATGACATTGACAAAAGAGGCGTCAAGACCCAAGAGCTAATAAGTGGCATACAACTGTTTTATGCATTTATTAATATCCCCTATTTATTCCATCATGAAACTCAATGGGACATACTTAGAGTTACCAGGCCAAGAATCAAATTATAAACTGAGCATGACAGGAACTGTTCAGTATATGAGTTACACAAAAGCTCCTGCAAGAATGGCAATTACTACTTTGTTCCACATGTAACATTACAAGCATTACATATATCTGTACCACAGAAAGATTCAGAACATAAAATTGCAATAGATTACATCATTATAACAAGCCATGGAACCTGGAGGTTCTTTAGGCAAACAGGTCTTCATATGGCAAAACTGTTTTGGGGCTTCACTACTGACGGCAGGCAAAAGAAATGAACATATAGAAGACAGAAAACTGCATGTTCTAGACTAGGTTTCCCATGACATGCCCATTTTCAATGTGTGACTTTTTCCACTGAGGGAGAGAAACAGAGATTTATTAATGCCTAATTAACAGACACTGGGGACAAACAATGGGGTAGGGCTGTTGCCTTCATGCCTATTTTGTTGGCTTCCCACAGGCAGCTAGCAGGAACCTGTTGGAAACAGAATGCTGGACTAACTTGGCCTGACCTAGCAGAGATCTTTTTAAACGTGTAACCTTCCACCTGGAGTGCAGATAATTAAGACTTATTCAAGATGAGCCTTACTGGGTGAGAACGTTTTAGAGTCCTTCACACATGTATCCAACCACAGGTATGGACCAATGAGAATACGCACGCTCTTCAGCTACATAAACCGGAAAACCCCAACCAAGAAAACAGAAAGCCAATCCATTGTAGTGGTTACAGTGTAAAACTAGGAATGGGGAGACCCAGGTTCAAATCCCCACTCAGCATTGAAGCTCACTGGTTACTTTAGATTGCTTGCTTGGTCGATCTCTCTTTCACTGCCTTCCCCCCTAGGGTTAAGGTAAGGGAAACCATGCATGCCACCCTGAACTCCTGAATAAAATGACTAGAAAGAGAAATTGCTGAGCTGCAAGTTATTACAACATTCCGAACAATGGAACCCCAAGGACTTAACAGGGATATTGGTTTCTTATCTCACTACATATGCTAACCTCATTCAGCTCTTACATCTGTATTCTCACCAATCCCCCAGAAGGGACATACATCCTTTTTATTTTAATTATTATTTGGAATAGTAGATTAGAATAGCAGATTGCAATGTAAAGTAATTTATAGTAGAATGTAATGTAATCTGGAATTGTAGATTGGAATGTATTTCTCTGGTCTAGGGAAAGGGGAGATAACTCTATACAGCCAATCACGTCACTTCAAATAAGAAGATGCTGTAAGGTCGCCTCCCTGCTTGAGAGGAGATGGATGGAGCTTAATGGCAGGATCTCAGCTAATTACATTTAGCAGTCCAGAATTAAGGATACATCTGCCCATCAATCTTCAATTTTGACATATTTTCTTCACTATGTTCTCCCACGGAATTAAACCCAAACAAATGGAAACCATATAAACTAAGCTTGTTGTTCCTGTTTAAGCTTGTTATTCCTGTTTGGTCCTTTAATCTGTTAAACATCTTCATTATGCTGTATACCAGTTTACTGCTCACCCTCTACCTATATGTATGGACTGGTAACTTCCATTTCATTGTATCTGAAGAACTGTGCATGCACACAAAAGATTATACTTTGAATAAAACTTTATTGGTCTTAAAGGTGCCACTGGACTCAAACTTCGTTCTGCTGCTTCAGACCAACATGGCTACCCACCTGAATCTATCCTGAATAAAATGTGATAGATAAAAAACCTCTGCTTTTTCAACTGGCTGTTTACCAAAATCATTTCTGACAAAACAGAAACATGTCTTAAAAACAAATATGTAGTAGAACATGTTCCAGATTTTGTTTCTAGTCCCTACATGCAGTAGTTTTTCAAAGCCAGAGGAGTCCAGAAATTTCTCTGCTAGGGAGGCTAGTTCATGGTGCACCTGACAAACACCTTCAGATGCTCCTTGCACCTGCATAGCTGCTGCTCATGATCTCCTCTGGGCATGAGGCTCTTGCCTCCTTCCAAAGCAGACCTGAGAGCTGGTCAGGAGAGACAGGATGCTAGCTGGGGTGAGTAGGACAGTTGCTGGGATAATCAAGGCAACTGCAGTCCCATGAAGAAGTGTAAAACCTAAGAAGCTCTAGAAGAAAATTAAGTTCCCACCCAGACTGCAGAAAACGGAGCCAGAAAAAAGCAACACTTCATTAGCATACTTTGGTAACACTGAAGTATGTTGAGTATATTAGGAAAAAGGTCTGCCTGTTCCAATATCCAACACAACCCCCAAAGCAACTGGGCTGATGAAAGATTTGGGCAGTGGGACAGAAGGGCCCATCTCTGCACTATGCTCACTACTACCTTCCCCTTACCCTATTTATTGGTTTGAACTCCTATTCTGATGCATCAGAGTTCTTTGAATCTTGTTTTGGGGGGGGGTCACAAAATGCACTTTTTAAAATGTGGGTAGAGTGTCCTTCGGGGGGCTGTGGTGGCTCAAGTGGTTAAGATGCTGAACTGCAGACCGGAAGGTCGGTAGTTCAGCAGTTTGAGACCCGAGTGCCGCATGACTGAGTGTGCTCCCGTCTCTGACCCCTGCCAACTCCTGCCAACCTAGCAGTTAGAAAGCAAGAAATTGCAAGTAGATAAATAGGTACCACTTCAGTGGGAAGGTAACAGTGTTCCATGCACCTTGGCGTCTAGTCACGCTGGCCACATGACCACGGAAACGTCTTTGGACAGCACTGGCTCTTCAGCTTGGAAACAGAGATGAGCACCGGATCCCTAGAGTCAGATTCGACTGGCTTTCGAGCAACCTTTACTAGAGTGTCCTTCATTGCAACAGCACTCCTTAAAAGCAAACATCAAATTGCTGGGCTCAGTTCAAGAAATCAGTCTACCAAAGAAACTTCATAAGTATTTTTTTTTAATCCATAGCATCACCAGTTTCTGCAGGCTAGCAAAGGTCCGATCTATTCTTCCAACGTGGTACAAAGTACCATGAGGTGCTGAAGGGAGATTATAAAGAAATCTACATCACCAGGTGGTTAACAGTGTGGAGGGAATTGCGCATGCATTGCCATCACGATTTTTCTACTGGTTAGATCCTGACAGAAGAAGCTCATACAAGCAGATCACCCTTCCCCTTCTCACAACACATACTTATACAAAGAAATGAAGAAGACACTAGATGTCTTGAAGGTGTTTTTCTCATAGCCACAAGAGATAAATGAAGGGTACATTTAGTACAGAAGCCAATCTTTTAATAAAAAGTGTAAAAATCTTACCTGCAATGCCTATTAAGAGAGTTAAACCAAAACAAAGGAAGAACACGACAAAGACCAAGACAAAGTGCCGTTTGGACAGCGTATACAATCGCATTGGGGCCAACCTACAAACAGCACAAAACAAAACAAAAGAACACATCAGTAGTCACTAAGTTACAGGCAAGTATCCAGTGATAGCACTTGTTTAAAAATGTACCCTCTTTTCTTCAGAAGTTCATCCAAAAAGGTGGAAACTCCATCCAAACACTGGCTAGGTGGGAGCATCCTGACAGCACATCCTTCAACAGCTCACAGATAAGCAGGGACCACAAGTAGGCACATAAATTGGATGATAACCTTGCAACTGTCACAATCTTGAAGTGTGTGCACTATTTACTGTCTCTTTACATACCACATATACATGACAAAGAAGCAAAATCTAGTTTGATGCAATACTGTAGTGGAGGAGTAAACCCACATTCTCCACTGAATCAATGTTCACACTACCAAGAACGTTTCACATTACTAAATGCTGGTAAAACTCAACTTGAATCCATAGAAAGGCAATAAAAAGACACATTATGGACCATACTTCCAAACTATGGCTGGTCTGCCATCTGAGAGCCTACCGAACAGGGTGTGTTTACTACAAAGTCTACTGATCATCCACAGAGATTTTACTAGTCTGTCTTTGGAAAGCTCAATCATTACTTTGAAGGATTTTCCTGATGTTATATTTGCTAGCTAAATGCTTCACGTCCACATTACAAACATTTGAAGATTACAAGGAGAAGGCAAATGAGAAGAAAGCAGGGGGGGGCAAGCAAAACGTTACGAAAGCAGCAAGGTTTTTGCCATCCACAGAAAGTAAGAAACCCTTTTATTAAGCCTTTATATCTAAACATTTAGCAGCATACACAGTGCTTAATGGTACTTAACCTTTCTCCTACTTGTTACTTTTCCTTTACAACTGTCCTGACTGTCAGTGTGGTGCAGTGCTTAAAGTGTCAGACTAGCACTGTCCTGACTGTCAGTGTGGTGCAGTGCTTAAAGTGTCAGACTAGCACTTAGGAGGACCAGGTTTGAATTCCCACTTGTGCAATTGGAAGCTTGCTGGGTGACCTTCAACGGCAAAAGGTCACACTCCGTCAGCCTAACCCACTCACAGGGTTGTTGTGGGGATAAAACAGAGAAGAGAGGGACGATGTAAGCTACTTTGGGTCCCCACTGGGAGAAAGATGGGGTGTAAAAGAATTAAATATATAAGCAGGTGTTTCCTTATGGTCATTCAGATTGTCTGCTGCAATGGAGAAGCAGCAGCTGGGGTTCCTAAGGTGCTGACAGCCAAACATGTGGATCAAATCTAAGAAGAGAGAAGACAGAGATCCTTTTGTACAAACTGGTTTCCACCTGGAGGAATAAAGATCCAGCATACATACGAACCTGATCTTGTGCTGTGTCATATGGTGCTATCCACTGAAGCGAGGAGAGGGTGGAAACAACAGATGTGCACAAGCCAGAACCTTGCTCCTCTTTCATACTGCCCCCCCAAAAAAGTGGCATACAAAGCCAGAGTTAGGAGACAGCAAAATGCCATCTAGTCTTCTCCCACTCAGTGCACTTTATGATGTCCAACAGCCCCATAGCTAAGGACTTTTTAGGGAGGGGGCCTGGGGGGGCACCTGCTAATCCAATCAAAGGTTCCAGGGCAAGGGCTGCAGCGGCTGCAGCTTCCCTCCCTCTCCCCCTCCCCCCTCCCACAAGGGCAGGCCTTCCCTGTGCAGCATCCGGGTCCGGGTCCAGCTCCCTCCCTCCCCAAGGAGCCCCAGTGCCTCTTCCCACGGCACAACACCAGGGGCAGCCTCTGGAATCACTGCCCTTGTCCTCCCTGACGACAGGCTGACAGGCAATCAGGGGGAGTTGGGGTAGGGGAGCCAAGGCTCAGGAAGGGCCCCCATAAAAACTGCTGGGGGGGGACGGGCCCTGTGTTAGCTATGGGCCTGATGTCCAAAAAGCAGATGAGCAGGTGCACTGCAAGAAGGACTTGCTCTGGATGAGTCATGAAAGCCAGCCAAGTCAACAAGCTGCAAGAACAGGCAAAAAGAGAGAACTCACCCAGATCACAAGACCCAGGAGAAAAATGCCTCCAGGCCCCAAATGTGGTTATTTAACTACAATACAGGCACCAAATCATCCCTGATTTACCTCTGATGCAACAGTCCTAAAGGGAAAGACATCTTAACCCCATCACTCAGCAGCATAAGAGAAGCGGGAGGGGGGGACCAGAAGATTTAAAGGAGGAGAGGGTCAAGAGAACTATTGCACATATTAACTCCAGGTAGAGAGAAAAATGTAACCAAGAATGGCTTAGGATGCCTTTGTCTCTCCCATGACTGATTTATCTTGGGCAATAAACTGCAAGAGTATTTCTGTGACTTAAAATTTTAGTTTAATTGTCGTTAAGGATTAAATGTGATATTTATACTCAACAGCAGCTTCCCCACATAACAAACATGCCTTATGAATAACTCTGGTGCAGTGTCACGTAAGAGGGAGGAGCTACAGTTCAGCAGCAGAATGCCTGCTTTGTATGCTGAGGTCCCAGGGTCAAACCCTGGCATCTCCAGTTAAAAGACAGCAAGGCTTCAAAAGTACTGGACTAGTCAACAAGCACTACCTGCATTTCCAGGAAAGTCAGGTCTTTTTTCTCAATAACTGCATGAACATGCTATATGCTTCTCCTATATACCAACCACACCTAATGTGGCTATCCTTGTACTGACTTCTGATGCACACTTGAAGTGGAAGTGTGCCTCAGTGAACTCATTAAGTCTTCCGCTACAGTAGGCAAAGGAAAAACCTGCATGAGAAGTATATGGAATAAAGTCTTAATTTGTGCAGTTTAAATACCAACAGACTAAAAAGGTGCATATCTGATACACAGAGCTCCCTCCAAAAGCTACTTCCTATGTTACAAACACACTTTTATCTTCTTGCCCCTGCTGGTCACTGCACAGTTGAAAATGTACAAAGGTAGACCTGTAAATAAAAAAAGAACAGCTCAAGTGGATCAAGGCAGCTGCGTACTTAAGAGGCCTATGCTGCTGTAAAATAATGGCTAAGAATCTGAACTGTGTACCAAGAAGTCTCCCGTTCAAGCCTTCCCAGCCACTATCCTCTCAAGCCCTGGCCCCTCATTTGGAATTTAAGAATAATAATACTAATTACTTAAAGGTCGTTGTTAGAAAAATAATGTGCATAAAGTGCAATGGAACACTTAAGGCACAATGTAAATGCTGAATAATATTATTTGACTCTTGAAGAACAGATCCTCTTAGAAGATTTACCTCCAGTATAATGTCTGAAAAGCAAGAAAGTATTGATTTCTGTTTTACTCCAAATAGAAGAAGAGTTGAATTTATCCCCCACCCTTCACTTGGCATCTCAGAGCAGCTTACAATCTACTTCTCGTCCTCTCCCCACAACAGACACCCCATGAGGTAGGTGGGGCGGAGAGAACTCTGAGAGAACTGTAACTGACCCAAGGTCACCCAGCTGGCTGCATGTGCAGGAGTGGGGAATCAAACCCGGTTCTCCAGATTAGAGTCCGTCGCTCTGAACCACTACACCAAACTGGTGGGAGTTTTCCAGAGAATGATCTATAGCAATACCTCCTGGAGCCATAATTATGTGTAGGTTGGAGCTATGGTAACACAGCATTGGGAATACCAAGGGGTAACATCCTCAATTGGTAGAATTAGGGATACAGAACAACAGGTCCTTTAACAACAGAGCAAAAAAAAAAACTGATCTTGTTTGCTGCCCTACTCTGATGCTTATGTTCACATTAAAACAAGCAAACTTTTAGAATGTGGACCAAATTCTTGAACTTCTGTCCATATAGAACTTGAGAAGCAGGGAGAACTACTTCTAGCTAGTTTTCTTGAAATAAGGAAGGTCAAACATGCAGAAAATAAGTTCTGAGACATCCAAATATGAACCACCCACAATTTAGTGAATTGAACTTTTCTAAAGACATCAGCAAACACTCTTCAGCCAAAGTAAGAGCCCTACCAAACGTTACATCCCTTTTATAAAAACTTAAATTCATACATTATACAGAACTGAAAGAGTGCAAAAAAGCTGCACTTCTGATTTCTCAGCTTCTCTTGTAATGTGTGAATTGAAATGTATGGGTCTCACCTGCAATGAGATCCAAGGGTGCTACAGCAAAGTGTGCAATTCCTCTTCAGACGCAGCAACAGAAACAAAGTCACAAGGAACTCAAGCTCCTTCCACTGCACTGTTGTAACAACTGAACAAGTTCTTGTATGACTATGTAACCCACTCAGCACCTCTTAACTTCCACTGTCCAAATCTAACTGTTGGCCTCCCATCTCTCTTCTCCCTCACACAGAAGTCCTCGCCAGTTAGCAAGTTAAGTTGGGTGGGTGCTGAAGGACACATGCAATCCTGGTCCACTATGTACTCTTTCTAAACAACACCAGGCACATAGTATGACCCAACCAACCAATACCTATAAGAGGCACCTGACTACCTTTCACATTTTTGTCTCTCACATCACTAACAAAAGAGAAAAATACATTCAGGGCCTCAGGGCCTTGTTTCTAAACTCAGTGGTGCTGTGGTGCAACTCAGCAACGAAATCACATTAATTGCTCTTAAGTTTAAATGCAAGATGGGCTGAATGTGACAATCTAACAGTCAAGAAAGGCACCCTGTGGAAGCTCTGAGGAATTGAACGTTGTTTTCTAAATTTCAGCTTCGCCACAGAAACAGGCATTAGGGCTAAATTGTGTTTGAGATCATGAGGAATTTCAGGCAGGCGATACATTCCGGTTCAGGAACAGTTCCCAAACGGTTTCTGGTCTGACATTTCAGACAGAACCATTTTAGAACCGGTTCCCTACCGGAATATATTTGTACTTTCACACACAAACGCTTCTGTCCCATTCAGGAAATGGGGCTGAACCGTTTTACCTGTAAACCACTTCCAAGTAATCTTCAGTTTCTTCTCCTGGATTCGAAACGCTTTTTCCCGCCGTTTTTCGCCTGCGCAGGCGATCTCTGGTGCTTTTTTTAACATTCGCTTTAGAGCGCTATAGCAAAACACAACAGCAAAACAGCATTATAGCAACCCTACTGGAATGCCTGGCGTGTTGTGTTATAGAGCTATAGCGCTATAGCGCTCTAAAGCGAACATTGGGGGGGGGAGCCGGAGATCGTTTGCGCAGGCGAAAAATGGCGGGAAAAAGCAGTGCAGTCTGAAATAGCAAACCGCTTCAGATCCAGCTGTTTACCGGTAGGGGAAAACCATGTGTGAAATGGCAGCCCTATACTGGTTTACTCCACGAGGGATTAAAAAACAGCTTCAAACCGGCTTAAAAAGGGTAATGCAAAATTCCTCCATAACAGTTTCTAGGACCATACAACAATGGACAGCTGTTGTTTTCATGCCCTGCTTCCGGCTGTTCATTAAGAACAGTCTGCACATGTTCAAGGAAACTCTTTTATTAATCCCCAGATTCTAGAAATGTTGGAAACAGAGCGAAAGATTTGGGCGAATCTTCTAGCGAGGACTTCCTCCTGTTCTTATGTCTAAACTATTCTCTCAGTGAACCACAACCTCACTGGAAAGCGGGAGAAGAAGCCGGTCTTCTCTCCCGTCCCCAACTGTGCTGTTACTAGTTCCGGCTTCTTGTTGCGCGAAGTGAGAGGACGACCACAAGACAAGGAGCAGCTCCCACCGCCCAGCCTTTGCAACTACGCGCGAACCCTCCCCCAAGTGCAAGAAGACAGGCAAGCGCACGAGACCTGCAAGACCAGCTCCTCAGGGGAAGCCCTCCCAACACCGCCTCAACTCACAGTTCCATAGCCATTGCTGCATGCGCGCGGCAACCGGGCAGATGCCGCACCAATGAACGAACCAGCTTCGTGGCAGAAAATTCAGCGGCGAGCAACGCGCCACATTTCCGCACACGTCACCAGCGCAGAACCCCGCCTCCATGCTCAGCCCACGTGATCGATAAAACGCAACGCGATTTGGCATCAAATCCCCCCCCCCCAGAAAGCTCGTGAAGTCTTCTAGTGGCTTTGGAAGGCGTATGGCATGCGAACTGGTGAGGATGACGTCAGGAGCGCAGCTGCCAAATTTAAAAACTAAGGAGGGAAAAAAAAGGAGGATAAAAGGAGATTGTGTGATACTCTCTGCGAACTACTGCCCACAAGTTATATTAAGTCCGGGAAAACAAGTAATAAATAAAATGATGGGTAAATGAGTTCTGGGATTCCCGCAAGATGTCCTGGGAACTGTAGTCTTTTTCCTTTCGGGTTTTTTCTCTCTCTTTTTATCGGACTGCGTTATGTTTTCAAAGAATTGCTGTTCCCATGGTTCGTTCAGAGATAGAAGAGTCCCGCTTCCCAGCATAGGCTCTTAAATGTATGTTTTTCTATATATTCAGGTGGGTAGCCGTGTTGGTCTGAAGCAATAGAACAAAGTTTGAGTCCAGTGGCACCTTTAAGACCAACAAAGTTTAATTCTGGGTATAAGCTTTCGTGTATCTGATGAAGTGCATGCACACCAAAGCTTATATCCAGAGAATTAAATGTTGTTGATCTTAAAAGGTGCCACTGGAGTCAAACTTTGTACTCTATGGCATTATATATATATATATGAGAAGCTGAACACAAACAGATGCCTTGTCAAGAAACTGAGAGGACGCTTTTTGGGAATTTGCAGAGTATCTTGTGCCAGTGATTTAAATGGAGTTACTGGTGAGCACTGGAGACATACTCTTGCACTTTTAAAGCCCTTCTGCAGTGTTATGGGGGGGGGGGGTTTACGGTACAATTCTATGCAGAGTTATTCAATCGTAAACACAGTGCACGCTTTAGACAGGTTAATTCTGCCTAGGATTTAATTTTGAAGTGTGGATTTTCCATTTATTTTGGATTAGCAGAGAGTACAAAAAGTATGGTAGTACACATATACTTATAGCTGCATATGTTAGTTAACAGCTACCGCTAGCATTAGCTTTACAGAATACGCTTACTCAAAAGTAAATCTCATTAAAGACTGCAGCCTCAGAAATAGTTTCTGCAGCAAGGATTAAGAATTAAAGTCGATTTTCTTTAAAAACTAACACATCTATGATGCTCCCTTTTTTCACAAACCTTTTTTCCTGCCTGAACAGCTCACTGAGGTCATAATTCTACACAGACTGAAGCCCAACTGGGCAACCTAAGAACACTTTCCTGGTAGCAAGTCCATTGATTAGACTTCTGTAGGATTCTCCATAGACCTGTTTAGGATTGCACTGTTGAACATGGGTAGGGTAGCCAACCTCCAGGTGGGGCTTGGAAATCTCCCGGAATTAGAACTGCTCTCCAGTTTCCCTGGAGAATATGGCTGCTATGGAGGTTGGACTCTACGGCATTATACTCTATGGCATTATTGTAGGTAACTAGAAAAGTTTAAATAAAAAAATTGATAAAAGCAGGGGAAAGTAGAAAAATATGTCCATTAAAAGCTTCATGAATTTATTTATTTAATGAATTTATTGTAGGTAACTAGAAAAGTTTAAATAAAAAATTGATAAAAGCAGGAAAAAGTAGAAAAATATGTCCATTAAAAGCTTCATGAATTTATTTATTTAATTAATTTAATCCATTTGTACCCTGCCATTCTCACCAATAGTGACCCAAAGCAGCTTACATGGTTCTGCTCTCCTCCATTTTATCCCACAATGACTCTTTGAGTTGGTTAGGCTGAGAGTGATAGTGAGATATTGAAAAAATGGTATTTAGCAGAGATAAGATAGCCCAGCAGAGCCTGAGTAAAATAATTCAGACTGAGAGTTCATGTGTGATTAAAATATACAGTTTTTACTAAATTCTAGCCTGGGAAGGGTAACTGGGATGAAAATAACAAAAGAGCATAGTCGGCTACATCCTTACACTATAAAGACAAAACTAGAAGAGAGCAATTATGGCTACTCTTACTTCTACTTCAGAACAGCAAACAAAGATGGGAAGAGAAGCCAAAAAATGGTAATATACCTTGACACTTCAGTCCCAATCAAATTCCTAGATCAGGGAGAAAATTCCTGGGCAATCCACATCTAAAGAACATTGGTTACATGAGGAACATGTGACTTCCTATGAGTAACATAAACAAACATTTCACCCCAGACATACTGAGTGTTTTCAACTTGTAATACCCAACACTCTTGGAGTTGGTTAGGCTGAGAGAGTAAGACTGGCCCAAAGTAAACTTCCATAGCATGTGGGAAATTGAACCCGGAACAAATTAACATACACCATAATGAAAGTACTTATGCTGATTTACTGTTCAACCTCTGCCCATATGTATGGACTGGTAAGTTCCATTTCACTGTGCCTGGGGAACTGTGCATGCACACAAAAGCTCATACCTTGAATAAACCTTTGTTGGTCTTAAAGGTGCCACTGGACTCTACCTTCGCTCTACTGCTTCAGACCAACACGGCTGCCCACCTGGACCAAAAAAATCTTATTGGTCTCTAAGGTGATTCTGGACTCAAACCTAGCTGATTTTATAGAGACACTAAATAGCATGGGGACAAAAGACAGCCTTCCCTGTCATACCCATTGTGCAAAAGCTCCCCAGCACCACCATCTGGAACCATTCGAAAACATAAGAATAGACTGACAATAGACATAAAAGAACTGGGGAGGGACAGAGATAATAACCAAATCATATTTGGTTTGTTCTTGTCCACCTGAACATAGAGAATTGGTTGCCACAAGAATATCAATGGCTATAGCCTAACTCCTGAAGCTAAAGCCTCTCAGACCAAAGGCACAATACTCCCATCATTAGTTACTGGAACTACATTTGGGGAGGGGGAGGTCTTTCTATAATGACCTTAGGGGCATCATAGAAACTGCTGATCTAGCAAACCATATCTTATGTTTAGAGAAATTTAGTGAAGTGTTGGGTGGATGTAATCAAAGCCTGTGGGCAAGGGTGTAACTGTGTGCCTCTGGAGTCAATAGTAAAACTCTCATCAGGTTAGGATTCCACCCATAATTACAGGAAAGGAAAAATTAAGAGATTGAAAATGTCGGAGAAGCCAGGTACGTATGTACACCACAAATCAAGAAAGTCTGCTAAGACTTTGATGACTATATACAAATTTATAATTTCAAGTTTTAGCTGATAAAGTTCTACTTTACAAACTAACAAGCAGGGGGCCTGCAAGGAGGGGAGGGCAATATGGAAATTTCACTCCACTATCCCTATCAGGGAGGTGAAAAGCAGAGAGGCACCCCAAAGGGATCTGTCAAGGATGGGCGAGTGGGCATCAACGTGGCAAATGGGGTTCAATGTGGCCAAGTGCAAAGTGATGTACATTGGAGCCAAAAATCCTACCGATAAATACACGAATTAGCAGAGACTGTCCAAGAGAGTGATATTGGAGTTGTAGAAGGTAACTCACTGAAAATGTTGAGACAGTGTGCGACTACAATAAAAAAGGCCAACACTATGCTGGGGATTATTAGGAAGGGAACTGAAAACAAATCCGCCAGTATCATAATGCCCCTATATAAATTGATGGTGCGACCTCATTTGGAGTACTGTGTACAGTTCTGGTCACCACACCTCAAAAAGGATATAGCATTGGAAAAAGTGCAGAAAAGAGCAACAAGAATGATAAAAGGGTTGGAACACTTTCCCTATGAAGAAAGATTAAAGCACTTGGGGCTCTTCAGCTTGGAGAAACAATGGCTGAGGATAAACATCATGATTGAGGTTTATAAGATTATGCATGAGATAGAGAAAGAAGTACTTTTTTCCCTTTCTCACAATACAAGAACTTGTGGGCACTCAATGAAATCGCTGAGCAGATGGGTTAGAACAGATAAAAGGAAGTACTTCTTCACCCAAAGAGTGATTAACACATGGAATTCACTGCCACAGGAGATGGTGGTGGCTACAAGCATAGATGGCTTCAAGAGGGAAATAGATAAACATATGGTGCAGAGATCCATCAGAGGATATTAGCCACAAGGTATAGATAGGGACTCTGGGGCAAGTGATGCTCTGTATTCTTGGTGCTTGTGGGGGGGGGCAACAGTGGGAGGGCGTCTAATGTCCTGGCCCCACTGATAGACCTCCTGATGGCACCTGGTATTTTTTGGCCACTGTGTGACAGAGTGTTGGACTGGATGGGCCATTGACCTGATCCAACAGACTGGATGGGCCACTGACCTGATCCAACATTGGTTTCTCTTATGTTCTCTTATGTAAATCAATTCTCACTAAAAGTTTGAGGGCTTGGGCAAGCTGATTTCTTTTCCTCCCAGTTTTCCTTTTGTTGGCACTCAGTTGATTTCACCAATTCCACCTGGAGCATTTTTGATCCTCATCAGGCTGGCTTTTTGGTTGGGGTGGGGGTGAAGTCCATAGAGAAAGTACTGATCCCTTGTCTGTCATAGTCACACAGAGGGCTACCTTTCCTTTAGCTGCCCTGAGCTCATTTGGGGAGGGTGGGATATACATTTAATAAATAAATAAATAAAATTATGCTATTAGAGAGATTATTCTCTCGTTTCTCCTTGCTCCAGTGATTTTGGGGGGCCCTGAAAAAATATTCCAAAACTCCCCCCCCAGATACAAGGGGAAAACATTAACTAGAAAATCCTAGCAATGGGCAGTGGAGGCCTGCCCTTCTTGATAAGGGAAGAACATGACAGGAACTCATACCACTTGAGTTCCAAGGACTCATAGCAGAAGTTGGAGTTCAGTTTTAGATCTCCTGCATTTCCTTTGGAAAACCCTTCCCAGCCATCTTTTAAATGCTTCAATAGAGCATTTTAATGGGTGGATCGGTGTGAGAGGGGAGTCAAGAAGGTTAGCAGAAGCAATTATTTCTCAATCATTTTTTAAAAGCA